CCAAGCACTGTATAGTGTGTGTTAAAGTGAGGAAAATTGAGAGACTCAAAACAAACAAAAAATTCTTTTGAAGAGCAGAGATTTTTTTTTTTTTGAAATAAGGTAAAAAAAAAAACCCAAACCCACAACTACTTCTTGTTTAATTTTTAATGCCAGTATCTATGTTCTTGTCACTGTTACATTTTTAGTAACATGGTTTAGTAAACATGGGTTTTAGTTTCTTAAGCCAGCCTTGTGTTTGTATTTTATAATAATATGTGTATGTCATTTTAGGTTATGAGTCTTTAAAATATTCTACAATAACTGATTTTAATACAGCACACTTCTTTCAGCTATTTCTTTTAGATTCTTTTTATTGATTGCTTGTCATGGCAACAGGAGGTGGTCCCTTTGAAGAAAGCATGAATGATCAGGACTTGCCTGGCTGGAGCAATGAGAGCCTTGATGACCGGCTGAACAATACGGTATAGTTAATATTATCTTTCAGTTGCTGTTTTATGCTGTACGTTGAAATTACCAGGTAGATTCTGTTCATGGCAGGTGACAGTGCAAAACCCGAAGCCTTGTCAGTACAGGTAGGTATCTGCAAAACCAATAAAAATAATTGAGGTAGATGTAAGCAAGCAGTGAGTGTAATGCTGAGGTTGTGAAGTCTGTAGATGTATTTATGGGAAGTGTTTCGGGTCAGTGAAGTAGCTAGATACAAAAGCGTTGTAGGTGTCATGAAAGTGAACACTCTAATTTTAAAAGTTCTAAACTGCTGAAGAGTCTTCATCAAAGAAGAAAAATACAATTTTAGATTCATTTGAAATTAATTTAATGTATTGTAGGATGAAATAGGTTTAAAATTTGCTGACAAGCTATTTTTAATTTATGCAGTGGAGAAAATTATATTTTGTAATGTGGTGTTTGTTCTGGAAAACTTAGTGCCTATTTTGATATCGCTTTTTATTTTTACTTCGAAAATGGAAATAAACTCTTTCACTGACTTAAAACATTTAATTTTTATCTACGTGGATAACACACACAACTTTTTTGTTTCTTTCCTCTCCTTCCACTTAAGGACTGGGGAAGTCAACAGAAGAAAGCAAACAGATCTTCAGAAAAAAACAAGAAAAAGCTTGGTGGGGAAGGTGAAACGAGGCTTACTAACGACATATCTCCAGAATCCTCACCTGGAATGGGACGACGGAAGACCAGAACTCCTCATAGTTTTCCTCATGCTCGATACATGACCCAGATGTCTGTTCCAGAGCAGGCTGAACTAGAAAGGCTTAAACAAAGAATCAACTTCAGTGATCTGGATCAGGTTTGTGAGAATGCTAGCTCCCACTGTAAATGTGACTACAAAATTTATTCAGCTATTTCTTGATATTTGACAGATGAATAAAGAAAGCTTTCATAAGTGATTAAGGTAAAAAAAAAAAAGCTTGTACGCACAATGAGAGCCAAATCAAAATTCTGGTTTTGAACTTGAGGAAATTATGTAAAGTTCAGGACTGTGCCTTTTCTATGCTTGAGAGTATGCTAGCTGTCTTCACTTCCTTCCTCTCAACTGTTAACAAATTACTGTGTCCTTAAATCAGTATCTCTTATCATACTTGTCTGCCACTCAAAAATGTCTATTACCTTATTTTGGATGTCTGTTCTTGAAGTGCCAGTTTTTGATTCTGAACATTGTTATCCTTATGCATTAAGCGGAAGAGCAGCATTAAAAAGTGCTTCTCAGCAGAGTGTAGAGAAATATCTGGCTTGAGTTCTTGAGCCATAACTGCTTCTTGGGGAATATGGCATACGCAATCCAAACCAATTAAAAGTATGAGGGATTAATTCTTTGCTAACAAGGCATAAATTTGTGTTAACAGTTTCAGAATAGAGGCTCGTTAACCTTTACAACGTTTGTTGTTACCTTGTTTGGGTTGTGTGGATTCTTTCAAGTGCAATTCATTGCTTTGATTTAGAATGTAAAGACTGGGCATAACTTCCTCCCCGCATGTTCGTTACAGCAACAAGTTACTATTCAGAAGGTTCTAAAGAAAAGCTGGAGTGATGAGGTGATATATGCTACAAGTGAATATATTTTATTATTGTTATTCTCTCAAGCGTACCTGGAGAAGTAGGATGCCTTTCACTATAGTAAAGGTGGAGGCCACAGCAAGGATGAGGAGCTAAGCTCTGAGGAACTGCAGAACGCTTTTGCTTCTCAGCTATTTTGAGAGGGTGGGCTTGCTTTCTGAAAACTATATGGCAAAAATCACTGGCACTGTCTTGAACTAACTTTTGACTAGTCAGTGACTAATATGATAACTCTAAAATCAGTCTAGTAATACTGGAGAACTGGTAATCCAAGCAATGAAACTAATTAAAGTTGAGAATACATTGGAGGAAAAAAATAAAGCAATTCTGTTTGTTTGTTTGTTTGTTTATAGAGAAGCATTGGAAGTGATTCTCAAGGCAGGGCAACGGCTGCTAACAACAAACGTCAACTTAATGAAAACAAAAAACCATTCAACTTCCTGTCACTGCAGATAAACACTAACAAAAGCAAAGATCCTGCCTCAGGTTCCCAAAAAAAGGAGAGTGGGGTATCAGTACAATGTAAAGAGTTGTTTGGAGCTGCTCTAAGCAAGGATTTCTTGCAGAATTGTCAAGTCTCTGCTCAAGAAGATGGAGGGGGAGAACCAGCTATGGATAGTAGCCAGGTATTTACAGAGCCTATAAAGTGTACAGAATATTGACTCTTAGAAAGGTTTTAATTACCTTGTTACTTTTCAGTGCATCTTTCTAAATTTCCAGAAGTATAACTGTTAAGTCTTATTGGAAATATTTACCTTCCCGCTGTTATAAAAGATGACTTGAGGAAAATGTGAAACCAAACTTAATCATGTATTGTTCTTTAGAAATCTGCACAAGCAGTGTTCATTTTCATCTTAGAGGCTGGTTCTCTTATGCATTTCAACAAAATACTCTCAGTTTAATATTTTCTTATGTTAATGAGCTCAGTTCTGTTTTAGCCCGTGTTGACAAGAAGCCCCATGCTTCAGCCTTGCAACTTCGTGTGTGCATAGAGCTGTCCTTAGAAAAGCTGATGACTTTTAACCACTTGCAGAAGTATGCTTATAAGATTGAAAGAACTAGTATGTCACCTCTTTAATTACTACTTTGCTGTTGCTATCACCATGTCTTGTGCATTAAATACATTAAAGCTGTAGCTGAATGCATTCAGTAACTTCAGTGTCTTTACAGATTGTGAGCAGACTAGTTCAAATTCGCCACTATATTGCTAAGGCCAGCTCCCTCCGGGATGATCTTGTAGAGAAAAATGAAAGATCGGCCAATGTTGAGCGTTTATCACACCTTATAGATCATCTTAAAGAGCAGGAGAAATCCTGTCTGAAATTTTTGCAAGAGATGCTTGTAAGTTTGAGAACATAATATATTTGTTTCTGCACTGTAAGCTTTTTTTAGGAGTTGACCATTGATGTTTTGATGGTGCTACTGGGGGTGTTGGTTTTGATATGTAGTACCTTCCATAATTCATTTTTACTGCCCCCTTATATAGCTTTTGATTTATGCCAATGGAATATTTCAGGCTAGAGAAAATGAGGAGGATGATGTTCGGACTATAGATTCAGCTGTGGGATCTGGTTCTCTAGGTGAGAGCACATCGCTAAACATTGATGTGCAGTCTGAGGCTTCAGATACCATGGTAAGCTGCCTTTCCGTAATTAAGGTGCTAGAAATGAAGACTTTTGTTTTGGTTTTGTCGTGATTGTTATGATAGTGTCATAATCTACAGTTCAATTAAAAAATAGTAAATCCCCAAACACTCTGTTAAAGAGGTGTTCCTGCATGTTTTTTATATGGGGAAAAAAATGAGTGATTCTGTCACAACTATGTCTTGATTAGTTTTTTTAAAATCTTTAGTCTTCAGTGTAGGATGAAGGGTTCAATGTTTACTTTGGCAGAGCATGCACTGGGTTGACGTTTTCCATAGAATTTTTCGTGTTTCCTATTACATAGGAATAGTTTTCTATAGGATTTTTCATCTGTAAATTTGTTGCTGTTAGTGAGGAAAACTTGCTGGTGTTGGGTGATGAGAGGGTTAGAAATGAGTCATTAGGGGGCTATTGTCCAAGGATCTTTCTAGTGATAGAATTATTGACCTAACACAGAAGTTTCTCTCCTTTTTTGGAGAGATGAGCACCTTCTAGAAGATGTGTTCTGAATTTAGTTCTGAGGTACACAGACAGTCTTCTTTCTATTTATAAAAGCTTTTCTGTTAATGTAGTAAACAATTCTCATAATAGATACAAAGCTAAAAATAATTAGAAAAACTTCTTAATGTTTTAACTGCTGTGTTACTTCCAAGCACGTAAATTCTCCTCGTCTGTAGAACTTTCAGTGTACTAACCAGCTTTCTAGTACTTTTCCTCAGTATAGTAGTATTGGAATACGTAAACTGTAAGTTTAGTATTGGAATACGTAAACTGTAAGTTTAGTATTGGAATACGTAAACTGTAAGTTATTTAAATGCTTTTGTAAGAACTTTTTATATCCCTATAAAGAAATAAAATGATAGACATAGAAGATGTACTTTTAACTTAAAAAAAATACTGAAAAATGCAGAAAAAGACTAGTACAGTTTTTAAGAGGTACATGTGTAAACTTGGGTTGTTCTTAATTTCTTTAGTTTTATGTTTGGCTCTTCATTTTGCGTCTAATTTCTCTTTACACACAGCTTGAAATATTACATGCAGAATGAATAGTTCTGATCTTAGAAGCTTGATTGCTATATGGAGCTTTATTATGAAAATTCCAAGAATGACTAACAATGTGTTTGCTCTTTAGTAGACTTTATTTAATACTAGTTTTTGACAAGATACAAGTGGGTAGGTTTGTAACTTAAAAATGCATTGTAAGTTGGAGCACATGTTCAAAATCTAACTAAACTATTTAATAAAGGAGGTATCTTTTAGTTTGAGCGATCGGCCCCGCATTGAGGACAAACTAGGGAATTCAGCTTCACAAGAACAGGTTACAGACATTGAAGTTACAGCAAGCCTTAAAGGGAAAAGTGACAGAGCTGCTCTGAATCACAGGGCAATCTGGCCTTGTAGGATTAATAGCCAAGAACATGGATTGCCTTCAAAGGTACACTTCAAAATATTAAAATATTATTTTAGCCTCAAATAGGGTTTATATATGCTGATTTTTTTTTTTTCCCTCATTAACTGCTTCAAATGTATCCTTAGAGATGTTTGACAACTTTCTTTTCTGAAGTGTCATCATTGACAGAGAAAGTACTGCATGTAACTTTGTACAGCAGGTGTTCAGATTTTATGTGGATGATCCTTCCAATTTTGCTGTTCTTTTTGGGAAAACATTGTAAATGTGACTTTCAGACACTTGTCATGTTTACACCAATAGTCTGCCAATGCAAATTTAAGCTAATACCATATAGAGAAAATAGGTTGGAGAATAGCAGCCTTAACTTGTTCCAAAGATGTTTTTGTATAGCTGTTTATATAAATACTTGGTTGGAAGTGGGAAGACTAAAGGGCTTGAAGTCTAAAACTTCTTTTCTTATGTTACCTTTTCTATGGCTTTGTCTCTTACTCTGATTTTAAAAAAAAAAATAAGTCTAAGTTAGATTTTTTTTTCCATAAAATAAAAGGCCTACATGTTTTGTCAAGCTTATTAGTCCAAATGTAGAATTAAGTTTGAAAAATTTATTACGTGGTTTTAATAAACTAAAGTAGATCTGGTACTTTAGATAAAGCTTGGATTATTTAATAGGTGAGTGAAACTGAGACACATCCCCTTTTTCCCTTTCCTCCCCTCATTCCTTTCTGTGTTGATTTCATTGTGTACTCTTATTTTGCCTCTACTCTGCCTTTTATGTGTAAGATCAAAGTTTAACAGGAAAAGAGAAGGCTCTGGAGAGACCTCATAGGGACCTTCCAGTACCTGAAGGGGGCCTACAAGAAGGCTGGGGAGGGACTTTTTACAAGGGCTTGTAGTACTAGGACGAGGGGTAGTGGTTGGAAGCTGGGAGAGGGCAGATTTAGACAAGATGTTAGGAAAAAATTCTTCACCCTGAGGGTGGTGAGACACTGGAACAGGTTGCCTGAGGAAGTTGTGGATGCTCCATCCCTGGCAGTGTTCAAGACCAGGTTGGATGGGGCTTTGAGCAACCTGGTCTAGTGGGAGGTGTCCCTGCCATGGCAGGGGGGCTGGAACCAGATGATCTTTGAGATCTCTTCCAACCCAAACCATTCTGTGATTCTGTGAATGATCAGTGCAAGTTGCAGTGCATGTTTTAGTGACACTTGGAGAAGTTTAGAATTCTGGATGTGTTCCTCCTTTCTCTACTGGAAAGTTGAGCATTCCCTGGTACCCAGAACTAGTTAATAAGATGCCTGCTTCTATTCTGACATTTGGTGCAGAATTTTTGGACTGAGAGAATTTTGTACTTCAGGAACTCAGCACTATGTGGAGAGATGATGATGCTTTTAAGTTAGTAATGTTCTTTTTAAATACTTGTCAACTCCTAGCAAAAAGGGGGCAAATTTTTCCATGGTTTCATCTGCATAATATGATAATCCAATTTCAAACAGGATCAGGATCTTAACTGTGAATGTCTCATTAAAATACTTAATTTGCTGACAATCCTTGAATAAAAGCTTTCAGGCAAGTCTCCAGCTTTTAATTAGGATAGGATGGGGAAGATAACTTAGTTTTAATAGATTTGAACGGCTCGACATGCTTTCATTACTTCAGATCTATTTCCATGTATTCGAAAATACAGTATAGAGGGGATTCTGTGTCTGGTTTTGTTTTGAAATTCGTTTACCTAAATCTGATCTATTCTAGTATCTGTGGCATGAATACAGCATATAAAACTATAAATGCACTATAGGTTAGAGAAGAGTAACTGCCCAAAACATTCTGCTGAAAATCTAGAGATTTTAGGCTGGTAAATCAATCTAGATCTTGTGTTCTATGTAGCTCCATGATACTAAGCTTTATCTTAGCTTTACCAGTCTTACAGCTTAATGTCCTCTTTTATGATTCAAGAGAGGGATGCTTGGGTTAGTCTTTGGGACACATTAGGGTGACTGACTGGATTTCTAGAGAAAACTTAACCCCCAGGAGTGATAAGCATCTCTTGGTGGTACAGGCTTATCTCTATTGGGTGTCTAAAATTTTTAGACTGAAAAGGTCCGCCAGAAAGGTGAAGCTGTTTCATGTTCACCTTTTTACACTAACCAGGCTGTTTGATTCTATTAAAGTCCTGCTTGTTCTGACACTTCTGTCACTAGTACTCAGCAAATAAATTGTAATGATTATGGTAATGTTCTTCCATATCTTGCAGGCCAGAGATCCTCAACAGGAAGCTAAAGAGGAGTTGGAGAACTTGAAGAAGCAGCATGATTTATTGAAAAGGATGCTACAACAGCAGGAGCAATTGAAGGCTCTCCAAGGAAGACAGGCAGCTCTTCTTGCTTTGCAGCATAAAGCAGAGCAAGCAATTGCTGTCATGGATGATTCTGGTACGTGGAATATGGTGTCTTTCATAGCATGTTAGCGTGCTGATTGAATTATTAAAGCTGCAATTGTGGAACACACATTTAAAAGTCTTTTTTCTTTTTTTAATGATGCACTTTTAAAGAATTTTACTACAAGACTTCTATTTCTGAAAATAGTTGACAGTGTAATGTTGTAAAATGGTGTGTCAGTTAAAAACCACACAGCTGATTTAATTTACTTGTAAAATTCTAAAAGTGTCGTTTTTTCTCCCAAGAATCGGTCTGCTGTGTCAGGTTAGGAGTCTGCCTCTCATCTCCATCATTGAGATTCTCCAAAGAATCCTTCGAAGCGAGGCATACAGTGTGTTCTTTCACTTCCTGCATCCTTCTGGCTATAGGCAGTTGATGGTTTCAAGTTTTGGTTTGCCTTTTTCATGGGATTGTTGTTTTTTTTTTGGTGGCTGGTTGCTTGGTGGTTAATAGCCATTGATAGACTAATGGTTTATCTAATAAAAGAAAGAAGTTGCTAAAGCGGTTATGTCAGTAAATATGGAACTAGAACTCTGAAATTCTATGGCATGTAAGTTGGGCATATGGTTCTGGTAATAGAGCACCACCATTATGTTATAAACTTCAGTGTAAAAGCGTTCTTCAAATTTGTTTTCATATATTCCCAACTTTACAAAAATTACCTTTCGGACAGAGGTGTCTCTTTGATATCTGCTTAAAGGTTGTCAGCAGAGTAGTTTTCCCAAGAGTTCTGTCTTAAGAGGGAGACAGTTGTCCTTGATTGGTGCACTGTTGACATGTGAATTATCTTTTGTTTGTTGGAAACTCGTCCTGCCCACCACCCCTCCCTAAATCCTGTTCAGTTTCCTTTGGAAATGGAGTACAGTTATGCTTGCAGTTCTAGGGGACAACACTTTTTCACTGAGCAAGTTCAGATTTGGTCTGGGTTACTATTCTATGACTCTTCCCCATAAGAGTTGCCACTAGGCTTGATTAGAAGTTGTGTGGGATAGCAGTTCTTACTACAGTTAGTTTTTGTATTTAAAACAGTTTCATTTTAGAAATAGAAGTATTGGTTTTTACCCTTTGCAAAAAGTCTCTTTAAAGTTCCTTGCTGTGTTGAGCTTCTTTTTCTGCTTTTTCTCCTGTCTTTGATTTGATAGACTATAGGAAAAAAAGGTGGAACTGGTTAAGAAAACACCAAGTTTTAGTGTAGGAAGAGAAACAGAGAAGTTGGTAGGTAGAGAGCTTTTAGAAAACTACCACTGGAGTAAGAGAAGCAAGTGCCTTGAAAAGGTGTTTCCTCGTTCCTTAAGTGGTTTTCAGTAATTGCTTTTCTCCTGTCTGCTCTGCAGCAGTAGACCTGTGATAGAATCTGCTTTTTCTTCTTTCCTCAAACATACAAAACTCTTGATGAGGAGTAAGTAGATGAAGTGAGTAGAAAATAGGATTACTTACGATAAATTAGAATGTCTCGCTTTTTTTTTTTAATTCTTTGGTGGTGTTTTTATTTGCGTCACATTTCCGCTTATGTCACTCTTAATGACAGTTTCTTACTGCTGTTTGTGCTGACTGACTTAAAGATGTGGTATGTGCCAGAACTGTAAAGTAGGAAATGTAAAGATTCAATTTCAACATAGGACAAAATAATGTTTGTAAATTTGAGTATAGTTAAACTTTATTGTGCAGGTAATGAAGTTGTGATCTATGGGGAAATTAATATTTGTGCTTGATTTTTC